GATAGAGTGAAGTCATTAAACCCGTGAAATAGATATTAGACTAAGGCCTAGGGCAAACGTCGAACTTTCCATGCACCGAACTTAATTACATCAAAGAATGCCGCCTCATTATCACCTGATATCCATTGTTTTTAATGAGTTCGGTGCATGGAAAGTTCGACGTTTGCCCTAGGCCTAATACACTTTAATAGACCCTAATTCCATTGTTTTCTTTTGTGTCTATTTGAGTATTACACGTTGACTACTATCTTTTATTTCACGGGTTAAATGCCTTCACTCTAAATATAGCTTGCATTTAGCTGCGAATAATGAAGGATTAAGCATATTTCTCGAAGTAAGTTGTCGATGGTGATGTCCATTTCACACTCATCCGCGGCTCAGGTTTGGGAATAGGGCGCCTTGTTAAAACTTACAGTTTTAAAAACTAATTGAGGTACTTATAACATTTTAAAAATAAATCTTAAGGTGGCACCATATAATTTACCGACGATGTATGATGGTAATGTGGGTATCCTTATTAAAGGATCTTTGATCAATTTACCAAAAGATTTTTTGATTGAAAAGAATGTGCATAATGATCACCCCTCAGTCTTTAAAAGGGATATACCCTTACCTTGGTTGTCATGACAACGGATTTGACTCGGGCCAATAGTACCATGCTCAGGGTCTTCATCAAACATGAACGAGTCTGATGTGGAATGAGAGCTGATATCAAAAAGAAAACAGACGATTTATATGTTTCCATGCCATCGTGTCAACTAACATGAAAACCTCTTGTTTTCAGTGTTGTATCGAGCGAGCTCGTTTACTGGGTCTGACAACAATCAATCATAACTGTCACGAAGTTAATGGCTATGGGGAAAAATGTATGGTCTATACTTCAAGCACATATATTTCGTATTTCGCTTCGTGAACGTAACCGTGGTCTTTTTTTTTTCACAGTCAAGTGCTCGTATTATAACAATCCGCGCGCAGCAAATTCGTGCAAAGTAAAAACTTTCTTCTCTTTGCAGCATTAAACATAGGTTGCGCACGGCCTAGCAAAATTTGCTCTGAATTTTGCAGAATAGCCGAATAGTATTCTCGTCACCAGACCATTCTCACCAAAAATTGAAGATTTTAGTTTCGATTTTTCGTTAGAAAGCTGAGAAGGCTTTGGATAGGAGAATGGCCGAATAGCTACTACAAGCTTTACCGTTCCTGGGAAGAAAGTCGTCGAGTCCTTGTGGATAATTTACGTTCTCTTTTGTCGCTTTTGTTGTTTGAGCTTTCGTGAAGATTTAATGAAATATTTTGGACTAATTTCTGTTTAGCACCATAAGCTGGTTTATCAATCTCTGGTTTAAGTTCTTTCTTGTCAATTTCTGTTTGCACAACATATTCCTCTTTCTTGTTTTCTTTATGACCTCCATCTTCTTCGTCCTTGTGAATCTCTTCAAACTTGAACTCAAGAGACTGTCCTTGGTTATTGCATGCCTGAGAACTGCCACTTGAGGCCGACAGCGGGGAGCGTTCATCTTTAGAAGCTGTGACATAATTATACGAATAGTCAAAGGCTCTGGCAAGTGAAGGGTAATCAAAACTCGGTGACTTGTCAAATGCTCCGAAGCATGGGGTTGTTGGAGCACTGCTGATCGAGGGTACAACTGAAAGATAACAAAGTTTATTGTTACGTCTTTTATACACTGATTACTGATTGCATTTGAGAGGCTAGTTAAATTTCTATCGTGTAATATGTGTAACCCACAAGATAACTGATGTCATTCAATTTGCTGGCCACTACAAGTCTCTTAGCTTTGTGTGACCTTGACCTTCCAATGATGCCGCTCCATGAAATACTTTCTTCAAAAGTTTTGATTGACCAACGATAGAGGTTATGCACCATCATGTGGTGGCAGCCATGAAGCACAGTCAGAGAGTATTTTAACCCATGGAAACTGAATTCCTTCTCACGTAATTATTTATTACACCAGATTCAATCAATTGTTCCTTCGTGCCTCCTGTCACGGCTGCCATCAAGTGATGGTGCAAAGCCTCTATTGTTGGTCAATTATATATATATATTACATATATCATACTTCCAAAATGACGTCTATTTTGCCCCATTAAACAGTCCCACAATACAATGCCAACTTGGCCCAGTTTTCTCTTCAACTTCGCTCCGAATGCGTAATATACTTTATCACGTAATTTTCATAATTTGGTCGTATATAGCATAGAAATTGTATTCATTTTACACACTTGTAAAACATTTGTAGACTGTACGTTAAAGAAGCTTCATCTATATTTTTAGGCAAGGATATGCATCCCTATCTTAACAAAGCGGCATAATTACTTACCTAGATTTCTACTCGTATAATTATTTCCGAATCTGGAAAGACTTTCGCTACCATATCTAGATCGGGTATTTTTTCCTGGTTTCAAAAAAGGATTACGAAATTGAATGTCAGCTGTATATTTGAATAAATGAAATGAACGAATGGAGGATAGAAGGATGGGTGTATAAGTGGATGGGTGTATAAGTGGATGGGTGTATAAGTGGATGGGTGTATAAGTGGATGGGTGTATAAGTGGATGGGTGTATAAG